GGGGGAGCGCCGAGCTATCGATGTGCCCGTTCCCGCCTCTCTGGGGCTGCGCTCCGCCTGGAGCCCGCCCGGCCGCCCCGCCCAGAAGCGGGAGGGGCCCCTCACGGCCGCTGCCCTGTGGACTACATGGCAGTAAAGAAAGTCCTTTGGCTCTTAAAAGCGTCAAAAGTCCATTTGCCCAGGCTGGAGGTCAAGGTTGTGAGGTTATTCATCGAGGCTGAAGTGAAAGAGGGGTATTTGTGGATAGAGTCCTCGTCAGGGCTGTGCCTGTGCCCCCGTCAGGCGCTGGGCAGTAAGAATAGGAAAGGAACTGGTTTGGAAAGCAGCAGGTTAACCTATGGAATTAAACAACCCGTTCTGGAAATGAAAATTGTGTTTATGGAGAGGTCAAGAAACATGAAGATACATATAATCATAAAAATAAAGACTTTTTTTTACTTTTTATAAGCAACTATAAGCATGTTTTTCCTACTTGAGTATAAAACTTGAATTTTCCCTCTGTCGCGCAGCTCCATAATTTGAAAACCCAGTAAATTAACTGCCATAACAGGATCCTCCTTTTTAACGTTTTAAAAACTTAAAGAACCTTCTACCCCTTCTTCAATGTGGTCCCAATCCTGGGAGCTGATGGACAAGACATGAAAATACTCAGTACAGTGCCAGGGATTCAAAGTGTCGTTGTGTAAAATTAGGTTCTCTTGCCAAAATCCTTCAGTTTTGTCATACTTTAAGTATGCCCATTTTCAAAGTCTTTGCTGAAAATGACTTTCAAGTACAAGTTTAATACACAGTTGTAAAATGTTTCTTCATAGTAGAAGTAAAGACCTGTTTGGCAGTTCTCAGTTCCAGACATAACATTTGTAAACCTCATAGCTTTTGTGGAAGTTTAACATTTGTGTTTTAAAATCTGTATCTCTTCTGTAGCTGTAGAATAAATGCTACTGCAAAATATCCTTCTTCAGTCTAAGGCCTCAGAAATAACTACTGCATTTAGTTTCTCTTGAGGTAGAATAGAATAGTTCAGTTGGAAGGGAAGTACAACAATCACCTAGTCCAACAGTATGGTATGTTTTTATGGCATAAAAGAAAAAAGTTATGCCTACTGTGTGGCTTCACTCAAATGTAATTGCAAATTCTGGTTGAATACAGGTTCCACAATTGCCAGTTAAGTCATGTACATAAAATATAATTATGGGAAATGGGATCTTAAAAATTGACTTGCAAAACCAAAAGACTCCCACTTGATTGAAGGAGAACCTCTACTAATTTTCTGTAAGAGGTGGTTGGATCTTCAGCATCAAGCCAGAAGTGAAGAACTACAGGATTTTCTGGTTCTGAGGTTTGAGTCAATGAGATTATGCTATGCAATCATCAGGAGACAGCCCTTTTCCTGACGTCAATGGATGTGAGCTATCTGGCACACATATTCACATGAATCTTCTCTAATATTCACTGGAGCATAGGGGAAAATATTTTGGGTTTATGGTTAACCACAAAAATGAGGTCATAATCAATCAGGGAACTATATTAAATCAGTCAGGACACAAAGATGACAAACTTCAGAGCTGTCAGTAAAAGGAAGTTACTTCCTGCTCCAAGATAATAACTACTGAATCTAGATTTTCTTTTCTAAAATAAAATGAATTATGTACAGCTAATAAAATGCTGTTGTTCAGTTGTAACCTAGTAAAAAAAGCTCCTGTAAAAGATTTCACTCCTTGATATACTTTGAATCTAGATTTTCTTTTCTAAAATAAAGTGAATTATGTACAGCTAATGAAATGCTATTGTTCAGACATAATAGTTGTAATCTAGTAAAAAAAACTCCTGTAAAAGATTTCACTCCTTGATATACTTAAGGTTGATTTGAGAAGTTTGGTCCAATAATGAGCAAAAGTCAACTGTAATAAAAGAAATACTCAGGAGGATAAGGGAAAGTATGGCCATGAAGATATGGGATAGGAAATTGAATGCAATAGTTTTAAAATTAAAATCAAATGGATTATTCATTTAACTCCAGTCTCTTAGAAGTGCTGAAGACAGCCATGTTCTTGACAGGTGGCATACCTGAACCCAAATTATCATCACAAGAAGTCTCAGCAGAAAAATCAATGGCATAAAGTTAGAAAAATGTTCCCTTTCAAATCTGGTAAAGGTCTTGAGGGTATCATGGAAGAAGGGGAGCAGTTGGCCATTCAGCATAAAAGAAAAAGCATTCCAGTTTTTTTAAACTGCAGAGATCATCCTTTCAGCTCTCAAAGCTGAAGAAAGAGATTAAAAACCTGAAAAGCATCAGTATCTATATTTGTCTGAAATGTCAAGTCTCTGTAGGAATGCTACATTTAATATAATGTTTATTTTAGAAGATAAGGGGTTGTTTGATTAACTTTATCAGTCAATCAGTATATGATCTGTCATTTCCTTTAACTGGTTTTCATCGCTGCATCTTGAATACACCCAAACTTCTTTTCTTCTGGAAGTACATCTTGAAGTAAATTGTCCTCATTTTCCACCAAGATCTGAATTTCAGTTTCTTTTTTCAAAGGATTTTCTTGTTTTGAAAGAGGAATTTCTTCCCCTGTTGGGGAAGAATAGGAAGCGTCTCCACAATCCATGCTAGTTGAACTAGTCTGTTCTGGGAACTGGGAACTGCAGTCTGGACTACATACTTTAACAATACAAGTCACATTCACCTGCGTTCCTCCGTTACCAGAATGTTCTGTCAAATAAACAGAAAACATAAAAAACATGGAAGAATGAAACCCAGAACAGGACAGTTGGTTTCTTTATCCAGTTCTTTGACTTAAAATAGACATTTAGTATCTTCTTGCTTCACTTAATTAACTTAAGCTTGTGGAGTTGGTTCTGTAACATTTTAGGGGTTTTTTGGTACCATAAAATCCACACGTCATCCCAGAAATAAAAAAGCCATAAAAATTAACACAGAGCCCTGGATCACAGCCAGCTCCCTACCCATCTGTTGCCATTTCAGGTGCTTTTAACAATGTTCTTTTCTTACTGCTCCCTTTGGCTCTTACTCCCACTCACAGGTAAGCACCTACCATCACACTGATCTTCTAGTCTGCAAATAACTTTTGCTCCACTGAGCACAATCGCTTTACTGTCTCAGACTGACAACTTAAAACAATCACCTTATCTTTTCAAAAGTTCAAGTTTTCAAAGGTCTGCTGAACACGGGTCTAATGTTTTATCCTGCCATTTAAACTGCTGCTAAAACGACTCATAATTGATAATCAGATTTCAAGGGGTTCTGGATCATTCTCGTAACATTCTTACCTGAACTCGCAGAGTTGTGTCTGTCTCCACTGTGAAGCTTACAACCTTCTACAGCTGAATTGTGCTGCTGAAATCCTGTTTCTTTCTTTTCATAGTTCTTGTTACTTATTACATTGACTCTTGCAGACCCAGTTGGATTACTCAGGGAGCTACTGCTGGACCGAGAAGTTCCCAAGAGATGCTGTTCCTCCTGCTCAGAACTGCTGGCGTTTTGCGATCCTGTATTTCCTGTTTTTTTGTCACACTGCTTTTCTGTAGAGGATAAAGGCTGGAACATTTGCAGAGAAATGCAAAACATTAATCTTTTTAAGAAACACTAAAAAAGAACGGTCAGTACTTAGGCAGCTAAAGAAATCACTAATAATTGACATTTGTATAGGGATTACTAAGTAACATTCATACCAGCATATTAGGCATTCAACAAAATGAACCTGTCTCCTGAAGGCACCTACAGTACTTCACTGATCACCTAGGGAACAAAGGCTCTAAAATCTGGTCTTCTGATCCACACCTGTGTTTTATTGCTAGTACAACTTAACAGATAGCAAGGATGGTACATTATGTAGGTTATGTAAGGTACATCTTGCTCTCTAGCTTGAGGACCAAACCATCACATTCTCATTCCAGTTGTCTTTCTGCTGTCCAGTTTTCTTCTACTTGTAATTAGATAAGACTGAATGATTTCGATGTGACTTTTAAAGAAATGTAAAAGATGGAAAGGAAGGAGTGACACTCACCGAATCTGCTTCTGTAGTCGATGGAGAATATACAATGGCTGCAAGTGAGGAAAGACAGTTCATTAGCTCCTAAATTTATTTCAGTTGCAAAAGCTGCTCTCTTAACTAGTCTGAATTATATCCTCTGCTCCTGGAATAAAACTCCAAGTGTACATTTATTACACACTGTTTGAAAATGTTCAAAGCTATATTGTATTCATTTTGTAAGGTGACTTAAATTTAGCCAGCAAGCAAAGATGACCCTCTGCATGAATTACTATTTTTTTCTAGTATAGTGTCAGTGAGAAAAGGTATTGATGACAATGAACTATGATCATGGCTGTTTAATGATAACATTTGATAATGTCTAATATTTAAATTACAAAGTACAAAATATTCTACAAGCTCCAGTAGGAGAAAAACTATTGTACAATTGTTGAACTCCACGGGGATGTTGTATGTTTAGACAACTATCTAAAATCTGAGGAACAAGAGAGATTTGAATGGAACATCTGCCTCACTGTACCCCTGTATTGAGATTCATTTCACCCTGTGTGTTTAATAAGAATACTTTTACTCTAAACAGATATGGAATTCCTGGAGTATTTTTTAATTCTATTTTTCTGTAGCTGAAAATCTTATGTGATCGAGCTGATTTGCCCAAGTTTTTTCTTAATCTCTCTTCTGTTGACCTTTGAACCCTTTGGACAATTTCACCCCAATGTAACAAAGAGGAATGGTGTCACAAGCTCCTCAGGGTTTCATGAAGCTATAGGTTGCCAGCTAGTGAAGTAAAAACCTGTAAATCATCACCATGTCCCCTTGAAAAAAAAACCAAAAAACCTCATACATTATTAGACACAAAAGAATCTACACGTTCGTGATCCTTCATCCATATCCAGCCATGAGAAAAGCTTCAAAGAGAGCCAGAATCTTCTAAGATACTAACATCAGTCAACCACTAGGCTCAGATTAGTAGGACTCTTTACAATATTTACAGATCTGCTTGTTTTCATTTCATGAGTCTTACCTTTTTTTTTGGACACTAGGCAATACCCCAAAATAGTGATTATCAGGATCAATAACAATAGTCCTGCTACTGATCCTGAAAATAAATTTGAAAGACAATTAGAAAGGTAATTGGTCTTGGAAATAAACTGTAAATCAAATATAAACTTATTTCCTAGCCAGACAAAAAATACTTTAAATGAGTTAATAGCTCACCGATGATGTGAGACACCTCAAGTACAGAGTTTAAAATGACAGGTCGAGTTACTATTTCAGGTTTGTTGGAAGCTGAGCTTTGTGTCAGGAGCATGTTCAAAATAGTGTGAGGTAGAACTGTGGCAACTGTTGTTCCTGAGTCACTGCAAACAGTGTCATTCATGCTGTTTCCAGGAACAGCCACTGATTTACAACTGCAAGAAAGAAAAAGGGAAGTTAGGAAAGAAAACAACCCCATGCACAGCTAAGCTTGCTGTTAGACAGAAACACTGGCTTACACTGTATGTGGTGTACAGCTGGTATCATAAGATTCCTCGTGTGAAAAAGTGCCAGGAGGACAAGGTTTACATTCTGTATCTGTGCTATCTGTTCCTTAAAACAAATAGAAAAACTCCAGTTAGTCATCTAGTCAGAAACCAGAATGAGTAATCAAGGTCTGCAGTACAGATCCTGGAAGTGACACAGAGGCAGTACACAAAACACAGTCTTTGTCACAGAAGAGGTTTATTTGACACATCCAACCCAAGGTTAATCAGCTGTTAGTTTGGTGCCCTTGATAGTCAGTCTGTTTTAAAGACAGTAAAAACCCATCAAAAGGTTAAAATGTGGTAATGCAGACAGAGCTGAGCTTTTTCACTCATCCCTGACAGGCTGACCACCTAGTCCATTCTGTTGGAGTTCTGTATCTTTTCAAATGATTCTTAATTTCTTAAAAATATCCAGTGTTCCACCTCTTTGAATATTATTTATCATCTTGAGACAGCTACATTATCAGAGTGGCGACTTTCATCATCTAATAAAGACAGATTAATTCTGCAGGACAGACAGAGTCATCATTACTTACTGTAACCAAAATTCAACCTGAAGCCCTGTTTCAAGGATGTAGGGAGCAATTAAGTACTAGTCTTGAATCTGAGTCACTTGTATGGAAGAAATCACACGGTACAGCAAAACAAAGGAAGATTAAGTTGGATTGGGGAACTTCATGATATATAGTAGTGACAGACTGCAACATGTCCTTTTGGATATGCCTCTTGAGAATACTGTTGCTCTAATTACTGCCTACTTACTAAGATAGTGTTTGCACCAAAAAGAATGCATAACTGTAGGGAATTAAAAGACAATATTCCTGTAACTTACTCAGTTGGAGGCAGATTCAGAAATATTTATGGTCTATTAACTCAAAAAAAAACCTTTTTCATACAGTAAAACTATTTTGTGTTCAGAATTAAATTACCTCTTCTGGAAACTCGGTAACCTTTTCCACATTTTTTATGCACTTTGCATATTTTGCAGTACTCGTATATTTTTGAAATGCAGTATTCGTTGGGTGGGCAGCTACAGATTCTGTCCTGTGACTTAGTGCAGGTTTGATTCTGCACAAATCCTGTTTTTAAAACAAGAAAAAAGCAAAATGTCATTAGCAACATTTAAAATCATAGACTCCAATGTTTCAAGTGAATATGAAGTGTATACCATCATAAAACAAATATGTTATATGCCCCAACATCTACATTTTCAGAAGTTTCCTCTCTCTCTCTCTAAGAAAAGAGAAATTTGCATCTGCAGAATTCACACTTGAAACTCTGCACCTGCAGTTGCATTGTATTGTCTCGTAACCATAAATATGCACATTTGTGTCACCTGTGTTCATCACTGCAGAATCTGCGGGCCGTACTAAGATTTATAGTCTCTACTGATCATACAACTGTATTCAAAGTGTTTGGAGACCTTACTACAGACAACTTCATACTGTAATTAAGCAGCTTTGTAGGATTATCTATTTAGATGAGACCAAAGGTCTTTTGAACAACTTAGACTCTATCCTTAAAACTTACTTGCCAGTGAGTCAAGTAGATAATTTTCTACACCAGTTTCCATTAGAAGTGATGGGCAACAGTAAGACAACTGAATTTAATGCACGTGATCTGTTAGACGAATGGACAGATGTTGGTACAATATACTGCTATATATACTGTTAAGCTGTTTTAATGAACTGAACCAGTGAACTCTCACTGACTATGCTGCTTTGCAAAAGAAATAAAAACAATAGAGAAGTATCAACTGGTGTTCACTGCTGTCGATTCAGCAGACAAACTGAGGAATGACTGGATGCCGGAAATGCAATTATCCATTTAACCCTGTGCAAGTCAGGTCTTAAGCTTCCTCAGCTGGAGAGTACAACCAGGAAGTTATTCTACTGATGACATTTGTACTTATTTTAGTGATGCAGTGCCTTAGTTTCCAAGAATATAAGACTGGTGTCACATTTTTAGGACTTCGAAAGAAAAAGGGCCAGGGCCCCCTGCAAGACTTCCCTGAGTATTTTCCCCAAATCTTATGAGTACTAAGAGCATAAGAATGGGACTATACAAGTGATAGACAAAACCTCCTGGTTTTCTTAGAAGGAAAGACTAGGTTGAACCAAGCCCACTCTTTGAGCTGTTAAATGCCTCTTTAATAATTCAAGCCTACCTTTCCTGCAGGGTGGCGAGCAGGGAAAGCACTGAGGAGACCGATTCCAGATTGCTGTATATGTGTTAGGTCTACAGGGACTGCACTTTGTGTCCACACTGTGACTGCAGCTCTCTGTCTTATATTGACCTATTAAAAAAACAAACCAAAACAAAATAGAGAAAGTATCTAATTGGAAAAGATTACTAGGAATTGTTTAAGGTAAATTTCATTCTTAGCTGTAGAAAACCTTTCCCTTCACTGCCACTATCAGATTAGTAATGTATACTAAGCAAGTATTGATTTAAAGGAGGACTGTATGTATAGACAGGGAAATTCTCATTTCTTCTACGTTATTCGTGTTTGACCCCTTTTCCTGCATTCAGTTCAGTGAATTTCAGCCGTGTTCAAAACAAGGCAGCCTCAACCCTGAACAAAACCCCTCAGCATATACTGAGATGCAGCTGCCACAGTACGTACACCAAACTTTTTATCCTCATAGAAGCTGTGTTTTGTGGTGAAACACAGGATGGTGTTTCATGTTGAAAGTCAGGCACATGCTAGAATGATATGTGTGAGTAAGGCCCTTACTACCTTTACAAGCAGCAAGTGAAGAAAGCATAATAAAGCATTACCACAAACAGACCTGAATTAGAACTTCACCACTTGTCACTATTGAAGGGACACGAGCTCACTCTTTTTCCTTTACCTCTTCAGCCAGCCCTAACATCATCAGCCAGCCCTAAGAGATGAAAGCAATGAGTTTCTGAAGCTACTGGCATGCCAGACAAAATCAAAAGCTATCAAAGATAGTTTCTCCAGTGCTTCTTGCCAACAGCAGTTCACTGCAGTGCTGGGAATAAGTAAATATGAGCTCCAGCATATCCATTCTGGAGAAAGGAAACCACCTTTTGCCCCTTGCTTGAAAGGAGGAAAAAGATAAAAATCAGTGTCTCTCATCCTGTACCGAAATATCCTGGAAAATACACTCAGAAAGCGGGAATAAAACTTGGAGCTGCCTGGAGTCTCTGTTCTCCAAAAGAAGGGGCCCTGGAGACGAGCCGTAGAAATTATTTCCAAAGACTTTGTTTTTCCATGCACTTACTTGAACCATAAAATTCTGCTCCCACATCCTGCTAATGATTTAGGCTTCAATTTTTGATAAATTATTGTTAAAAAAAATTCAAGTTTATAGTAATAAAAATAAAGATTTTAGACTTCCTACAACTTGTTGCTGAGAGTTTGTTATTCTGAAAAATTAAAATTAAGGAGAAATAGACTGAACAGTACATACCACAACAGAAAAAGGTTTTACCTATGAATTATCATCTCTCATCCGTTGTGTTTTTAACAAAGGAAGCTTGACAGATTCGTCTAGACATTTTCAGTTAATTCAAGCAACTGTGCCTGCTTCAGCATATACTGATTTCCTGCTTCAACTTCCGGATGTCTCTGACAGGAACTCAGCATTTATAGAGACAAATTTTGTTTGCTCAGCATGTAATGAGACAAATGGGCAGGTTTTTTGCTGTATCTAATGTAGTAACATAGTAACAACTTATTGCAAAAACTCTATTATTAAAATACTTGAAAGGCATTACTACTTCCCAGAAAAAAAACAAATCCATACACCTACTTTTCTGCAGTCAACAACTTTGGCTAACAAAATAAAAGATTACTAATAATTATCACTGGAGTGTAAGACATGACACTTCAAAGCAGACAGTTTCTGTACTCTTGTAGCCAGTGGTCTGCAGTGTCTGATTTACAGTGAAAGACAACAAAACTCCCTTAATGAGCAATTATAGATTAACCTGTCCAATGGAAAGCCCCTTATATAAATGACATTATCAAAGTACAGAAACTAAGCTCTACCTCATGCCCAGTTTTACAACGTATTTGTTATTAGTCGGCTTGGTTCTCACATGTGTTGCCTAATTTTTTTAATTCCCTTAGTAAGCTGTTGCTCCCTCCCCAAAATGTTGACTTAAAAATACTTTAATCAAAACTCCACGCAAAGCTGTGCTTACAAGAGCTCAGAAGCCTACCTCCTGAAGGGCTCCAGCCAGGTTAAACTTGTAAAAGAATTCCAATTTTGATGAACAGTGTGTCTCTCTTGCAGATATTTTTACAGTCACAGCATTTTATTGTCTTCCAGCTAGACAACAGCAAAAAACTGATGCCCCTCATATGTATGAATAATCAAAACATACTATGCCTCTCTGAAAATTGACTGAATTTGGCTGTGTAAAGTAATAGTTTGAATTATAACCTACCTGGAGGGCACTGGCTACAACATTTATTAAGTCTTTCATCATAGAATTCAGTGCTGGGATCTTTGCATTGTGCAAACTGTGGTGTATAAGGCAATGAATGTTCCTGGGAGAAATTAAAGGAAAATCATGAGTCACAAGTCCATTCTGACCCTAGAGTCAGAGAGACAAACACTTAAAGATCAGTGCAATTATAACCACCTTCCTTTCCAAGACACTGATGCTGGCCCGATGAAACAGAAAGCAGCAGATGCCAAAAAGCTGAAGAAGAATGCACAGCTTATAAACTACTTGAGAATAGTTAGAGGCTCCTCTGTTTTTCAAAGATCTGTCACAATGAACAGTGATTTCTCCAGGTTTTTTGTTCAAAAGAATGCAATGGAACTATGGGATTAGCATCACACCTGGTCACTACTGCATCCCCCTAAACCAAAGGGCTAAGTACCTATTCTCAATTGCCATGATTAAAAAAAAAAAACACAAAAAAACCCCAAAAAACCCAAAACTCACTCAAGAGAAAAAGGTTAACGTTAGGTAGTACAAGCACAGGAGTTTCCTGCTAGATCTGAAAGATGCTGTTCAAAAAGTATGTGACACTGCTCAGTTTTCTGCAGTCTGAAGAGACTCCTCCATGTATAATCTACACATATTTAAAGAACTACTGTAAAAGTATTATTAAAAAGAGAAATCAAAACAGGAACAAGCTCTTTGGAGGCCAGTAATGAAAATATCCTTCCTCCTTACTGAAAAAACATGCTGATTATCTATTGTGTCTCCACATTACAAAGTAGACTAACACTTCCCAATCTCAACAATTACTTAAAGGGAACCCAACATTTTCTTATGCAGCTTGTTGAAACATTTTACCTCTTATCTAGCTGTATATCAGAAACAATATGAGAACAATAACCTTAATAATTCAAAAAGAAAAACAAGGCCTTTCAATACCTTCTAGGTTCAGTAATAACTGTTAATGCTGGACTTGCTATTATACCCTTATAGGATGGGCAACATGTAATCAACAAAACATACCATTTGCAAATGTGAGCTGACACTAAAACCTGGTGAAGGAGAAGAAAAGGGCTCTGCTTGCATCAGAAGTATTTTTCATTTAAGTTACTGTCTTGTTTATTAAAAGAAGATCAGGTGTTGTGGTCACATTTTTGTAGTCACTATGATCAATTTCATCGAAACAAGCACTTGAGAGTCTTTCTAAAATGTAAAACTTAAAGAAAGAGAAATCCAATAAACCACATCACAAATTATCCTGCTGGTAGTGAGGCTTCCTGGCAAAAAATGTTCTTATCTCATCCTCTGCATTGTCTGTTGTAAATACTGCCCTGCGAGTTAAAGATACAGGAAAACCTATTGGTTGATGGGTTCACATCTATTTCTCTGAAGTTGTACTTGAAAGGATATGTCTGCTGTCTGATACAATCTCCCTGAAATTTTATCTGATGAGCTGCGGCTCTTAGTGACATACAATTGACAATTTCTTGCCAACTGTCTTCAAAGAACATTATGGGAAACTAAAAGGATCTTGTAACTCAGGTACAATTTATGTACACACACGAGCTCAGCTTTGTTTGCACTGGAAGGATGCCATTTGCATTATAGCCTTAGATCTTCTCAGATTAGGTAGTAGTACCTAATGTCAGCAGACTTTTAAGATATTTATAAGAACAAAATGAAGACTTTGGAAGACTTCATTTAATTCAACAGGTACAAGTAGAAGTAAAATGCCTCATCTATCTAGCAGCAGAGGCACAAACATCATTAAACACGAAATTTAGTCTAGCTCTATGCACATCAATCAAATTAAGCAATATATTTTGTTGTAGAAGTGGGTAAACTACGCTTGCCTTTAACTACAGAACTCACTAGGGAGATTTTCGCAACGCCTTTGTATTAAGCAATAACTAAAAAGTTCCATACGAAACGTCAATGACTCAAGACTCTCCCTCCAGAGTCCCTGCATTGTTTGAATCATTTTCCCATCTGCATCGCAGACACTCCAGTAGATAGGTGACCTAATTTGTCACTGGAGAGGAGTTGGCCAACAGCAGTCTCCATACCAACTGAGAGGTTAGTACAGACTCTTCTAAATAAGTATGCCCAAGCACAATTATTTCCAAGATTCCCTATATCCTACCCACTAGATGTTAAACTAGCAGAGAACATGCCCGTGTCCTGCGATTCCCATGCCTGCAGCTGTACCTGTGCTGTGTACCTGTGCAGCACTAGTGAAGGGAGAGGGCCTGTGGGCTGTCCCCTCCCATGCAGCCCTACCAAAGCCAAACACAACTGAGACCCTAACATCTGCATCAGAGCTGAGACTGCCATGAACTACAAAACAAGGTTTGGATTCAGACTTCTTCCAAATCAGAAGGGCTTGACACAATGCACCAGCCTGGCTCTACCTATTGGTGAGGAAGTCCAAGTCTCAACTACTCACAGTATGTCACAATGTAATGCATTGCCTATGTACTGAATATTAATTATCATGAACATAACTTCCTTTAATTCCTGCCTTACAGCTTGTTCCTGTATTCTAGGGCTTTATGTGTAATTAAATTTAAGTATCTTCAGTAACAGAAAAAGCCCCATGCAAATATAATGGATTAATATACATACATATTCATCACATAACATTATTTTTTCACTCAAGGAGGCCATTTAAACAAAGATATTTAAACATATATTCGAATCCTAACTTACGTGTCTACATTTTTATTGGTCTCCTTTTCATACAGTTGCCTTCTTCAAACTCAAGCTGTCAAACAAAGGAGTCTGAACAAGAACTACATCTGGCATATAATGTTCTTTACGCATATGAAACCACAATGAAGTCACCAAGGACACTGACATAAAAATCTGTTGCTATGGAAAGGACTTGAGGTAAAGAGATATCATTTGCTGAGCTACAAAACCTGCTGAAGACAGGAAAAAACAGAATTCTGTTTAAAATATTTAAACTGGTCGTTTACAAAAATAATTCCGTTGAAGATTAGTTATGAGATAACAGCAAGTGTCACCAAAATCAGCTGGACTTGTATCAGTCTGTCCCAACTATACTCAAACCATAAAGCTTCTCTTAAAGCTGCTTTCCTGCAAATATCTCTCGAAGATTACGGGTCCATTATGCAAATTGTTCTCCCATCCTGTATTGTACTTTACTTCTGTAAAGCAGGAGCCCTTGCATAACCACAGAGAAATCTGCAACTCCACATTCCCCTTCCTTGAGAAAATGTTATCTTTTTGCTTACTGTTAGGGATTCTACTCCTTTGACACTCACCACCATAATATGAAAACATTTTCCCAGAATGGGAGGCTGCATAGACTACAGAAGCTATTAACAACATGCAAAAATTATAGAAGCAAGTCAAAGTTTGTAGGAAGCCACAGTATATTTTATTATATATGTATTTGGAAAAACATACATACACATTTTCAGGAATACCAGCTCTTCTGTTTCAAAACTGCAGGCTTATGTATACAAAAGTTGGTCTATTTTCTCAAAGGTTGCTCCAATAAAATATATTATCCACTAAACCAAGATCTGACACACAGTTACAGGCACTGTCAAAGCTGATGAGCCTCCAAATCTACAGTTTCCCTGTAGAAAGCAAAGCTAGTCAGGCAAATAAGGGGTGAAAGCAAGAGGAATAACAGATTGCAGGCCAGAGAGGCAGGAAGACAGGTTGTATCCTCATCACTTGTCAGAGAAGGGAAGGTGATAAGCAAGTTTCCAAGAAAGGATCAGCAAGTCAGGACTGGCCACATTAGGTGTGACCTTAGGTGGAAACATCCTGGAAGATGCACCTACGGGAGACAGGGTGATACCTAACATTGAGAGCAGAGCCAGAGAGAAGTGATGTGAGCCCTAAGTGTGAACATGACAGATGAAGAACCTTCCCAAGATGGTCCAGGTGTACCAACCAAAAACACCACAGCAGGGGATAACTGTAGTCTTTCTATCTAGGCTGGCATTTTTCTATTATTTTGAAACAAATTATTTTCTTGAGATGGTGTTGCTTGTATCAGATGGCCTTTATAATGCTCTGCTAAGATTTTCAGTCATGAACTTTGATGGAACAACCACAAGTGTGGATATGTACAACAGCAAAGCTGCAGGTCCCGCACAGCCCTCCTAGCTCTGACCATAAAAAAGCAGGAGACCGAGCAGTCTGCTCAGTTTTATTTCAGGATTTTTCCACTAGATCTCATTTATGCTCATCCTTTTGCAGTTCAGAGTATGTGTGTGGTTATCAACACACCTTCCAAGTACCAGCAGCGTTCTCCTACAACCAGTCAGCAGCATCCAGAGGATGCCCTTTGCTGCACACATCAGCAACTACACTGCAGAGCACACTGCACTGCTTTGCGAAGGACAGTTACTCAGGTTTGAGGCTGTTGAGAAAGTTCCTATTAAAAATATCTGGTGACTGAGTTGTTCAACATGGCAAAAATTATGTTCAGTTCCTGTGAGCAACACGGGGACTTAGGCTAGAATCCTTCTGATAATTTCAGCTGAATTAGAAAAACCAAGAAAAAGTGTTAGTCAAGAACTACTGATTTGCCAGTTTTTCTCCCTCAAAACCAAAAAAAAGTTTTCTTTAACCAGTCACTTTTTAAAATCAATATAACAGGCAGGTTTTTTCTATCTCTGTGGCAGATGTGGTATTTCTGAAACTACTAGTTTTGTTTTTCTAATTTATATATGGACTTTTCTTTGGTTTGTAACAATGCAGAAAGTGATGCTGAAAGTTTCCTTCATGATTTCCATTATTACATTTAGGTCATGTTTAGGATGAGAGGAGAGTTAATTCCTTTTGAATTAAAGCCTTTTGTTCAGCAAGAAATATAACAAAACTTTACACTTAGATTTTGGTGATAAGGTCTGCCACAATTCTGAGACTCTCTCTCTCCACCTGCTTTACCCTATCCACTCCAAGGTGCTCAGTGAATCAGGTTCAAAATACTACCACCTTACAAACCAGGGCTGAATTCGAAATGAGTAAGAAGCAGTTAAAAAAATAATGTAATATATTATCAACACACTATAACATCCAGTACTCCTTAAAAGACCACTGTGTAATTCCCAG